TGCTGAACCTCTTGAGAAGGTTGATCATGAACTTGTAAAAGTACGAGTTCATGGTCGGAGTCGAAGGAGAACACTCCAAGCCTTTGGTACCTATAGAGAAAGGGACAGAGCCGGGATTTATTCTACGTGTCCACAGAATATAAACAATTATCAATGCCAAAAAGGTGGGGGAAGAGTCTCTGTGTAACAGGATGAGGGAACACCTTCAATCAAGGGCCACGTTGGCAGCAAAAAAGCCAGGACCAAACAAGTGTGTGCAAGCTGATATAACTCCTCTTACTGCAAAAAGCACCCACTTCCCTGTCCACCCCTCCAGCCAACCCCCCATCACTTAGTGAACACCTCCTATGTGTGAGACCTGCTGCTGGGTGCCAGAAATATTTGGAAAAAAAAATTTTTTTTTACTCATTATCCTAATAAATAAAATACATTTGGGCTTTGTTTGACTGGTTAAGGGCAAACGGCAAGTCAAAGAGAAGAAAGAGAGAAGGCAGACACACAACCTCAATGGTCCACGAAGCCGACAGATCCTGCAAGGCAGAAGCCATACTCCCTTCCCGCCGCTGCTTAAGAATAAGTCAGTTATGTTCACAGCCACCAGGGTGAAGACAGCACACACCGACAGAATGTGACAGAGCGTTTCCACCTGCACCCAATGTTTTGAAATCAGAGATTCTTCCTCATCTTCAGGCAAAGACGCTCTTTTAGAGTAGTACTTTGAAGACCCTGAGCTGGCTTTACAACCAGAAGCACACTCGAGGTCTCACTCTTATGTGTACCAGCTGAAAATACATTGAAAGCCAGACACAGCCCTCACCCCACTGTCCCTGCAACCCCGTCCCAGCCCCAGCCCTGCACATGGTCCCCTATATAAGGCCTCCAGCGCGGAGGGGACGAGGGCGGGGCTGACACAATGGCTGGGTGATCCCAACGTAGTGTCTGTTCATACACCCCTTGGGATCTCCCCGTCCTTCCTTTCTAACACGTGATGACCTCAACAGGACTGCTGGAAAGTGATGCTAGGACTCCTCATTCCATCTGCCTGAGGCATTAACAGGACATCTGATTTTTTTAAAAAAATAACAGCTTAACTTAGATATAATTCATATACCATAAAGTTCACCCTTTTAAAGGGTACGATTTAGTGAAACAGGCAGCGTGGGGGGGGTCTCTGGGAATCAAGCTTGGCTGTGCAAGGAGTATCAGCTCCCAGAAGCATCAGCCTAAAGCACAAAACAGGAACGTGTGGAACCGTCATCCAGAGCACTACAAGTGAGCCTTACAGAGGAGCCCCTACAGGCTGACTTCATCAGATGCCAGGAAGCAGAAGTAAAACCTTCTCCCAGGAGTTCTGTCGTTTTGCTGAACTCAGTCTTCCTTACGTTCTAGCGTGGTCCTTACGGGGAAGTGGTTGGGAACTGGAAAAGGTGTTTCCTGTTTTGTTTTTCCTGGCTGTGAATTACTCTATGAGGATTCCTTACCAGGAGCCACACCTTCAAAATACTGTCCTCTCTCCTGAACCTCTTTTACAGCTCCTGTGAACTGTGCACGGGGCGAGAAGCCAGTTCAAGGATAGGACTCATTGAATTTCTTGTTGTTTGCAGTGTGTTGTTCTGGGTCCCTGTCCAGAAGAGCCTGGCCCAGGCAGTCCTGAGTGACTCTGGAATGGCAAACGGTCTCTGCTCCCTGCCCAGAGGGGCTGTTTGCAGAATCAAGTGTCACATTCTCACAGATCGAGTTACCCCAGGCCCAGCTGGGGCTGATCTCCAAAGAGGTGGCTGCAGATACAGCTGCTGAGGCAGCCTGGCTGCCTCTCAGCCCCTTGTCCCCGTCCCCACACTTGAGGATATGTATTCTGTCGCCCCCATGGTGGCCTGGCCGGAGGGCAGAGGCTCCCCCTGCGCCCCCCCCCCCCCCGGGGGGGGGG